GTGTGTGAGCGTGTGCGTGTGTGTGTGTGTGTGTGTGAGAGAGCGTGTGCGTGTGCGTGTGCGTGTGTGTGTGTGTGTGTGTGTGAGCGTGTGTGTGTGTGTGTGTACTGACTGAAGGCAGCAGTCAGCAGCAGAGCAGGAATGAAGACGATGAAGGAAAGTCTCATTGTGTTTCCAACAAACATCTGCAGAGTGTTTACGTGTTCCTGCTGCTGGACAGGCTGTCAACAAACAAACAAACACACAAGTGAGCAAATAAACAAAAACAACAACAACAAGTCAGCTTCACAACTAACTAGAACAGAAATAGCAAACAAAACTTAAAAACCAAGGAGTTGAAAAATAAAAATATGAAAACAAACAAATAAACTCTACAAACTCATTAGCTAACACAACACCAAAACAAACGAGCAAAAAACACAAAAACAAACAAATAACTAAATGAGATAAAAATAAACAAACACAAATAAAAAATATCAAGCAAAGAAACGCTACATGTGCTGATTGTTTATTTGTTGCCGCTGGACACGTACATGTCAACAAACAAACAAAAGCAAATAAATAAACTCAAAATAAATGAACAAAAACGAACAAAACAAATCAGCAACCAATCAAAAACAGCGCAGAGAAACAAACAAAATAAATAACCAAACAAACAAACAAAACCAAAAACAAGAAGCAAAGAAACTCAAGAAGAAATGAGCAAACAAACAAAAACAAACAAACACAACAAGCTTTAAAAATGGCCACAACCTCAGAAAGAAATTAACAAGACACACGTACAAAATTAAGCAAATATAGTACAAATAAAAACAACAAAAAATGAACAAACAAACAAGGAAATAATAATCAAAGACAAGTTTGTTTGTTTTTTAAAAAATTACAAATGGACAAGCAAAAGACGAGCAAAAACAACAAACAAATGAAGAACAAAAACAACATAACAACTGAGGAAAAAAACACAAATTAAAACAAATAAATTAACAAAATCAACATGCAAACAATCAAAATGAAGAAAACAAATCAATAAAGAAAGAAAACAAACATCTAAAAACACCAACATCAACAAATTAAATGAACAGCTGCAACAAACAAACAAACAAACATTGTTCGGACGTTATGACAGAAATTCTGATGCTGTACCAGGTCAGCAGGTGTTGCCATGGTAACCACAGCTGGACACACCTGTCAGGTTGTGCCTCTAGCAGGAAACTGTCATTCAGTAAACAGGAAGTGTTTGTACCTGGACCTGAGCCACCATTGGCTCTGTGGGCGCGCCTCCTGTGACATCACCGCCCTCTGTGATGTCACCTGAGGATGCAGAAAGACACCACTGAGCATGTGCAGCAGGTAAGACAGGAAGTTTATGGCTCGCGTGCAGCGAACAAGGTACTCACCTGCTGTGGTCTGTGGTGCATTCAGGTTCCCCTTGTCGTCTGAGACCTCAGAGTGTTCTGAGGAGACCGCTGGGCGAGCTGCAAGACAATGATATGTCAGTTTAGTGTCAATGGAGACGAACCGGCGAACCTGCCGCGGTGGTGAGACGTACGGTCGATGATGATGAGGTGGACGGAGGACGTCTGGTCGTTGAAGAGTCCAGGCAGCTGAACTCTGCAGTGATAAAGACCAGCGTCTGAGGGCTGAGAGCTGGAGATGGACAGAGAGGACGAGGGCGACAGCGAGAACCTGCAGAGGACAGAAGACCGACTGAAGGGCGATCCACCAGGACTTCAACGGGACTGACAGGACATCGTCTTGATATAGCCAATAATATAACGGCTCTGGTACGTTTAACACCCAAACTAAAAACAGGAATCATGTTAATATCAATAAATCTGCCCTCTGAAGCCCAAAACTCACCAGCAGGGTACAAAGACCTGTCATATATATAGAGAGATTTTTTTTTTTAAATCACTGAAATGACACCATTTGTCAGCCTGAAAAACAGAAGGAGTTGTTGGATGCTCAACTCTCTGACAGTCCCTGAATGTATCATGTGTCATGTTTCAGAAATGTGCCAAAAATAATTTACTCTCAACAGATTCAACAAAAACTAAACAGGAGACACACAGAGACCCAAAACAACAACAAACAGACACAGTAGGACACAAACAAGATGCAAAACTAAAAAACAAAAACAAAACAAAACCGCAGACCTAAGACGATACAAACAAACCATAAAATGAGAAAACATGCCAGTGTTTCTTTTGTTCTTTTTTCTTTGTTTGTTTTTACAGTTTTAACAAACAAACAAACATGAACCTCGGTGAAGGAACACGAGACAGAAGCTGGTTGGAGTTCAGAGCTCAAACAGTCGCTCTGATGTTCTGACCTGTGAGGAACCGCCTTCCTGCAGACGAACACCTGAACCTGCTCACCTGTGTGACCTCCTGTACGTGATTTGCTGCCCGTTGCTGTCAATCACAGTGTTGTGGCAGGTGAAGAGCGATGGCTTGCCCCGCCCCCAGCACACCTCCACTCCTCTCTGATTGGCTGTCTCGTGGCGACACGGCAGTGTCACCACCTGCCCGGCCACGCCCACCGCCGTCTCCATGGTGACCGCCAGCACACCTGGCAGCACGGCTGTAAAACACAAAAGCTGAGTTTTTAATAAAGTTTTACAGAATCGTTCCAAAGCTCCACAACTTCTAGAGAAGACAGAAGGAAGAGGAACCCAGCGGTGGAGGTCCTTCTGTAACCTGGATGAAACCATCCGGGGCTTCAGCTCGACCGTCTCTGATCACCTGAAAACTTCTCTGTCAAAAACTCTGGATATGCAAAGTGGTATCTGTCATATTTTAGATTGAAATATGAAGCACTTCTTGAAGTATTTTATTGTGAAACTTGCATCGACTCACTTCCAGCAGGTTCTTTCTTGCGTTGAACAACAACATCTCAGAAAACCTGAAACGTTCTCTGTTACTTCTCAGCATGTCGTTGATTCAGAATAATATCAGCTCAAACACAAAATTATGGGGGAGTTGAAATATGAGCAACACTGTCGTCGTCATGACAAGTTTAATCTTTGAGCAGATTAACAAAAACACGACTGATGAAGCAGAAGTGAACCAGTGATGCTCAGCTGCAGGTTGCAAGAAAACAAAACTAAACATGTGGAAGACTTTAATATGAAGCACTGGGTCACAGGAGAGACTCACCTGAGAGGAGGCCGATGGAGGAGAAGGTGTGGAGCAGCAGCAGCATGTCGTCGTGTCTCCTGCCGACAGACAGACAGACAGTCAGACGGACGGAGGGCGAGTCAGATGGACAGACGGCTGACTCAGCGCTTAGACTTCCCTTTTCCAACCAGCCTGATATTTATAGCCTGCTGTTGGGTTTTCATTCTCAGAGTACCATTGTATATACCCCTAGAGGTGAAACTCATTGTCCAGAGTTGGTGCAGTTTGTCAGCAGCTGTTGGCTCACCGTGTACACACAGATGTATTCATTCATTATGAACTACAGTCCATAGTGAACCACTGAAGTTCATAAAGGACCTAGTTAAAAGAACATCATGAACGCACACACTTCTAAAGTTAGAATGGTAAAATAGAAAAACAAAAAGCTATAAAATGTATAAATGTGACTCAGTGTATGTAGTTCTGGTCTACACAGAGGTCAGGAGGAGAGAGTTAATGCTGGCACAGCTCTCAGCTAGCCTCGATTAGCATGTGTCAGCAGCTCAACCGCATCCTTATGCATTTCTACAGCTGATGAACATCACACAGAGACAGACGTGGGGAATGCAACGATTCTGACCAAACATACAAAACCCAAAATAAAGAACACAGAGCTTCATGTCTATATAATTACTTCTAAAATCAGAACACTGACTACATGTGACCTCTGAATAGATCATTACTTGGCAATAAAATCTCAAAAGGCCAAAAGGAAACAAAGGGGGACTTATTAAAGCAGCTGAAGGCCTCCACCAGCCATCTCCACCTGCAGCGTGTCCTCCAGGTGTTCTCACCCAGCAGCAGGACTGGGCTGAACACATGGAGGCTGCTGTGACGCTCACTGGGAGTCGACTCCAAACCCACCAACACCAAACTGATAAATCACAGCAAAGGCACAAAACCAACACCCAGACAACACGACATGACTCACAACAGAGACATCTGTTGGTTCCTCTTCATGTTTCCTCTCCTGGATTATTGTTCTGTCCCTGGTCATGAACATTTTATTCTGGTTTAAAATCAGTTTTTCTACATGCTTAGACTTTAGCTCTGACGCCACCAAGAGGCCTGATGGAGGAAGTTCAGCAGAACATCCTGGACTTCTTCTGGTCTGGTGGAGCAGCTCTCTGCCCAGCAGACCAAATGGACCAACCTGGGCTGAACCTTTTCTACAGAGCTGTCCTGCAGACCTTCAGGTTGTCCAGGTCACTGATGAGGTGTTGGAATAAGCCTTGTTCCTTAACTTCCATATTCAAATTCAGACACTGCTGTCGGTCTCAGGAAGGCTGCACCACACTGGGCTCCTGATGAGGACGTCAGCTTCATCCAGCAGACCCATGGACAGAGAGCTGAGGAAGTCTAGAGGATGGAAACATGGAAACAATTAAATGTCTGGATTATGTATTATATGACATAAAACAACAACAAAAAAGACCAACCGACCGACTGACCGACCAACAGTCACCTCCAACCAACCAACCAACAATCAGCTCAGTCTACTATCCTCCATCTGGAGCACCAGCTGCTGCTGATCCTGCTCTGAGATCCTGGAAGGCCTTCCAGAAGGAAGCATGGCCCCTCAGCGCCCAGACCTCCTCCTCCTCCTCCTCCTCCTCCTCCTCCTCCTCCTCCTCCTCCTCCTCCTCCTCCTCCTCCTCGTGTTGTTGTTGGCATCTCCTCCTACATGATGTTTCTCTACATTCCACTTTAATCACTGCTGGAAATAAAAACACTTCCTGCATGTATATTAGCTATGACATCATCAGCAGCAGGATCTCCCAGCATGCATCAGTCTGTAGTTCTTAAGGACTCTGATTCAGAGAGACGATTTTAACTCAGCAGACGGTGGCTGTGTCGGTGCAGCAGAGTCAGAGGAGAGTGGATATCAGAGTATTGATCGATCAGAGTATTGATCAGTCGCAAATGTGTGTAAAATTGCTCTTTCTATTCTGAACAGACGCAGTGTTGGCTGATTATCTAACTGTGGAGAGGATTCATCAGCGGCAGCCTGTTCTCACTGTTTATTTAGTACAGCACACAGACACACAATAACACAGTTGACTGCTGAAGGCATCACTGTTTGTGTGTCTTTTTCAGGTCATTTTGTGTCTGTTTGTGGTGATTTTCACTGTCTTTGCAGTTGTTTCGTGTCTTTTTGTGGTTGTTTAGTGTTGCTTTGTGATCATTTTGTGCCTCTTTGCATCCTTTTGCAGTTGTTAGTAGGTGTTTTGTGAGTCTCTCCATTTGTCTTGTGTGGCTTTGCAGCTTTTCTCCTGTTAAACATCTGGCTGGTCTCCAGCCACACAGCTCCTCTGGTTGCCACGGCGATCCCGCTGACTGACAGTGTGATGTTGGAGGATCACTGATGTTACAGAAACATCTGGAACCAGTCCTGATGCTGACAGACGTCACATGACCTCCAGATTCCTGACAGTCGCTGCTGACTTTTAACCTCAGTGGAATGAAATTAAATAAATGTTAAAACGTCATTACAACATGTAGGTAACGTTGCAGGAACATTACCTATGTCATTATCTGTGAGTGAGTGAGGTCATAGGTGTCAGTGACATCATGAACATCAGCGTTACATCATCAGGTAAACACAAGGAGACATGACAGCTGTGGATGAGGTCGGAGCTTCACACAGCAGCAACAACAACCGTCCTGCTGGGAGGACGACCAGAGGACATGAATGATGAGAATAAAGAAGGAACAGGAGCAGTCGATGGAGGGAGGCGGTAAAGAGAGAGACGAGGTCGACCTCCAGTTTGTGTCCTGCTGATGTCATCTGACTGGCTGTTACCGTGACGACCTGGATGCTGTGGACAGGAAGCAGGAGGAAGCAACACGTTTCTGCTGCTGAACCTGTCGTTTCCACCCAGAGATGAGCAGCAGGTGGCGCTAATCCTGCAGCCGCCGCCAGTAAACCACAGAAGAAGAGAAACGACAACGTCTTTGAACAGCTGCATTTAAGCAGTTTTAACACTGAAACTATTTCCTAATTTATTTTGTCTGTGTTGATGTAGAACTGCCATAACAACGTTATAGGAGCTATACTGGTTAGAATCAACCCAACCAGTGTAGGCACTGGGGCAGAGGGCAGGATGGTGGATGGAATTAACCTTTACAACCATATTTTGGATGAAACAAACCTTTAAAATTCTAAGTGTTTGGCAGAGCGTACATGTGTTGGTGGAATAAACCTTTTAAACTATAAATATTATGAACAGAACACAGAACTTTGGATCGATCAACCATTCAACACTATATTTTTGGTGAAACAAACCTTTAACCCATGAGTCTTGCTTCCTGTTAGCATGCTGCTAATTAGCTGCCAGCAGGAGCCTCATTGATATGGAAGCTGTCGACCACATTAGCATAATCAGCAGCACTTTGAGCCTGACTGCTGCTAGCTGGACGCTAATGTGAGGCCGGAGTGGATGGGACACGCTCAGAAGGATGTTTCTATGGCAACAGGCGTGAGGTGAAGAGCATGCTCATTATTACTGTACCAGATGAACCTGATGACTGTTCAGATCACCGGAGCTGTGGACCCCCAAGGTGAACAAACAACACAACCTGCAGACAGGGCAGCCCTGCCACCTCACAGTAATCAGATTACTTCATAGTAGAACAACAGAGTATTTCCTGTCATCAACAGTCACAAACAAACTGTTTATAAAGACTGTGCATGAACATGGTTCTACAACGAGCTGAGAGCAGCAGAACCTTCTCAGTTCTGGACCTCTGGACTGTGTCTATCTATGTCTGCATCATGGCTCCACATGGAGAAGACCTGAACAGAGGAGGAGAAACATCTGACTGAGAGACTGGACAAAGATGGAAAAGGATCCAGAAGATCAGTGAGCAGCTAGAACCCAGTGCAGCCCAGTGTGAGCAGGAACCAGGAGGTCCAGAAGGAGCCACAGCAGCACTGATCAGGGCTGCAGTGGTCGTCCTCCTACAATGACTCCACGGACAGTCGACTACTGTCACTATGGAGCTGTGGACACCAGACAAAGGCAGCTGCTTCAGACTTGGCACAGGGCTGATCAATGGAGACCAGAGTTAGTGTGAAGCTCACACAGTGTGAAGGACACTTCAGAACATCAGCCTCTATGAACGGAGGAGCAGAACTAAACCTGGCTGCTGCTCACAGCTAAACTTCCACATCAAAGTTCACCAGAGAACATGAACAGAAGCCTGATGGATGCTGGAGAACATCCTCTGGTCAGATGGAGATCCATGTGTTGGGCTCACATGGAGTCCAGATGTTTGGTGTGAACCTGACCAGGACCACCACAGTGGATGCATGGTCCTGACAGTGAAGCACGGAGGTGGCAGCATCATGATGTGAGGCTGCATGAGGGCAGAAGGTGTTGATGACGTTTCTAGAAGCTCCATGAATGTCTGAGGATGAACCAGGATACTGGCTGACCAGATGAAGAAGAGGAACATTCCAGCAGGAGAACATCCAGAGAACAGCATCATCAGGAGCTTCTACACCAGAACTAAGTGGAACCAGGACGTGGACAGTGTGAGTCCTGACTTAGAGTCTCAGTAACAAACTGACTTCAGCCTGGACGTGAATCAGCTGCTGTTGGTTTGTAGATGGACTGTTTCCGTGTGAACTCGTGTCTCATTGAATGAAACCAGATGTTTACAGGAGCTGCTGCTGTTTGCTAAAACAAGTTGTTACAGCAACATGTGGACATGAGAGGACATTTAAACGTTTCATACATTCAGAGTCTCTTCAGTTCAAACAGCAGCTGGTGGCAGCAGCATCCGAATGAGACTGAAAGCTGTGATTATTTTAATGTTTGAGCTCTTTGATGTGGAGAGCTGCTCAGTATTCATGTATTCACCTCTCAGGGTTAGCGCTGCTGCTCAGCACTCAGACTGTGTTTACGAGTCGGACAGCAGATCAAATACCTGAATCCTTTTAGACGGAGCTCCGGATTAAACACTGGAGCTGCTTCACATGTTGTTTTACTGCGTTGCCTCTTCAGGCTCTTAAAGGGCAGAAATGGAAACACTCAGGAGGCTTTAAAGCACCTTAAAGCCGGGCAGAGGCG